GGCCTCATTAAGGTAAAGGCAGCTTCTGACCTGTGCTCTCTGCTGTGAGTTTCTGATGTTGCTCTCTGCTTCTGCCTTGCCCTGGCTTGAATGAGGCCCTCAAAGGGTAGGGACTGTTCAAAGTATTGGCTGCTGAAGAACACAGATCCGCTGGGGCCAGGAAAGGCAGTACAGTGGCAATAAGCCTTGTTAGTTTAAAGTGTAATTATCTATGAAACGCTTGGCTGTAGGATCTGTGCATCTTCTGAAGGGTTGTTTGCTTCCCGAGATGAGAACTGACAGGGAGCTAGTCATGTAGTCTAGCCTGTTAGCACAGGTGTTAGCACACTGTAGGCTGCCCCACAGCAGCATGTGCCTGTTGCTGACAGGCTGGGCTCCTAGCCAGGCTTCAGGTCAGCTCCCAGACCCTTTACAATCAGGCAGACTCAGCCTAGTGGCATGGTATTTAAGGTGGTTCTGCTTTGTAATTTTTGTCCCAGCTTGGCTTCCTTTTTTCTTTCCCAGCATCCAACTGCTTACCAGCAATGCGTCCTGCTTCTTCCCTTTCTTTTTCACTTTGCACTCTAAGCACTAGCCAACAGCCCTTTCTTCTTACGGCAGCGGAAAGTTTTGGGAACGCCGGTTATCCTGGAGAGGAAGAGCAGGGATGCCACACCGGAGCCCGAGCGAGTCAGCAAAGAGAATGTCCACCTGGTAAGAGCTACTCCAGCACTGCTGAAGCTGCTGGCACAGGGAGCGTGGGAGGGGAGTCTGAGTGCAACTTGGGCATTCATTTCAGCGATCCTTGGGGGGCTGCTTGCTGTTCTCTGTCCAAGAGAAGGTTTCCAAGTTTTTTCTGTATGATTAAATAAGGTCTTAGGAAGCTGCTGTGAGGAGAGGAGAGCAAGAACAGATGGCAAGGGCAGCACCAGGACAGGGGTGGCAGCCCTGGGCCTTCACCCCAGTCTCGTCCCTCTGGCTGTGTTCCTGCCATGGGGCATTGGCTTGCGCCCCCTTCTCTCCATCCTCCTCCACAAGGTGTACAGATCCTGCTGTCTGCACGTAGTAGGGCTGTCCCATGGACCAGACAAACCAAGAGTGGATTTGGGTGGTAGCTGCTCTCTGATGGTACAGGCTGCTCCTGGGGAAGGCTGTGGATGCCATTTCATTGCCCAGCTCTCTATTCCTATTGCCGTCTCTTGACCAGTTACAGAAATGTGGATCTCCAGCTCACATGTCCCAAGCAAAGCTGAAATCTTTGGAGGGCCGGAAAGAGGTGAGACAAACATACAGGCCTGTTCTCCTTTTTGTGGGGAGCCTGACCTGCTGGGCTCTGACACCTGCAGAGGTGATGGCAGGCATGCAAGCTCTGCAGTCCCCTGGCTTGTAGCACACTGCTGTGTGCCGAGCCACTGGTGTGCTGGAAGCTGGGCCTTGAAGGTGTGTGCAGCCCTTCTACCTGCAAGCTGGCAGGCTGGCTGCCACAGGAAGCAGAGGGTACTGCTAACAGCCTGTCAGGGGTGGCAGTGGGACAAGAGGTTGGTGCAGCTCAAGACCAACTACTCTTTACACTTGTCTAGTGCTCTGCTTTGGGAAAAGGTGGGGGAGGCAGACACCAGGGGGGAGTCCTTGCAAGGGGAGGACAGCATGTCAACCTTTTCTTGCATGGCATTTTGTCTCAAGCATTCAGTTGCTCTAATTCTCTGCTCCAGGAATCCTGTAGACGCATGCGAGCCCGCCTGCTTTCCAAGGATTCGTCATCCCTCTGAATCGCCTCGCACCAACGCATGGGTGGGGAATGCCCAGCCCCGCAAGCTGTGAATAATGTGCTGCACTGAGAGGGGGAGTGCTGCAGGCTCACGGCAACCCTCACCAACATGGCAGCGCTCTTGAAACTGGACCTTTGCAAAGACTGCAAGGACTTGTTTCTTTCTGTATATAAGTTATAGTTCATTCTACTATGGGGCAAACCACTATCTAACCAAAACTTGTGCAGCATGTCTGACTTGCTGGCTCTGGGAAGAACTGGAGTGCTTGCTTACATGGAGAGCCCTGTGCATTGCAGGGCCCTGTGTGCTCTCCCAGCTTTCTCTGCAATGTTGCTAGGCTGTATTTTTTTGCTTTGAGTTTTTAAGACATTGGCTTGTTTTTGCTTCCTCCCCTGTTAGCAGTGAGAAATGTTGGACTACTTCACCCACACCCTGACAGCTAACCTTACCTCCAGGCCTCCTCTGGAGCCGTGCCCTCCTCTGCTTCCTCTGGGCTTCCTTTTGCCCTGCTAGCCCCGAAGGGCTGGAGCACACAAATGGTACAGAGCACAGGATGGGTCTGGGAGAAGCCAGGCTCTGCATGCCATCATTTCGGCTGGGGCCAGGGGAAGAACTGCTTCCCCAGTAAACTCATCCCCCTGTTTCAGCTTGAGCTGGAGGCAGCCCTTACTCCCTGCCTTCATGTTTTTATGGCACAGCTCTGCCTGGTGAGCAGGGAGTGTTGCTGCTTTTGTGTTCACCCAGGGAGGCTAAGCTGCGTGGGGCAGGAGGCTGGCAAAGTCTGTCTGGGGCAGGACAGTCCAGCCTTTGGAAGCTGGGATCTCTGAAGCAGGCAGAGTCTTGTGGCTGTGTGTGCAGCATAGGAACAGTATGAACAACATGAATGGGGAGAGAAGGTGCTGGCCCTTTGTGATCTGCTGCAAATGGTACCAAAGGCTTTGGCTCAAGATATCTGGATGGCTGGTCAGGCAACTGGCTGATTAGTCATTAAACTGGGGGAAAGACCTGGAGCTGGGTTCAGCTCTTTGGCCTGAGCTGCAGAAATGAGATGAAACCATTTAGATACAGGATAAACCCCCAACACAGCTGGCCAGTGTCAGCTGTCTTGTTAAGCTAAAGTGCTCCAGTAAGCCAATCTTGCCAAGTACCTGTCTGCGAGCACTCTGGGGTAGGAAACACACAGGGTCACTACTGTGAAATAAAGATTTAATCAGCTGGGGAACGATCTAAACACTTCTCATCCCTTCTTGGCGAAGCAAATAATCTCTGGAATCCAATTATAATTGTCTTCTAATCTTTAAGAACCAGCAGCCGGCAGGAGTTAGAGCTCTGCCCTTGACAGCTTTCTGAGACAACTGGTGGCAGGAGGTGTGAATATCTGGACGTGAGTGGAGAGTTCAGTCAGACTGGCTAGAGCTGTCAAAACAGGGCGTTGAAGCTCTGTGCAGCTTAGCTGGAATTTGTCACTTTTTTTTACTGGTTTGGGGTTTTTTTTTGAGATACAAAGCTATGTGCCTCATGCTGCTGCCTCCAAAGGGATGTTCTTTGTACTTTATTGGGGGTGCCTGTCCCCAGTTTGACCCCAAATTGGAGGAGCTGCCTTGAAAATGTAGGGGTTAGTGGGACTGTAGATGTGGGAGTTGGGAGTTGCTGGTGTTAGGAGTCTCTGTCGCAGCAAAGAAAGAGCTCTGGTTCTTCAGGGACTGAGCAGGCGAGGATGCTGTGAGGAAGGGCAGAGGCTGTTTGCTGTGGTAATAGTATGTGCTTTTTGAGAATGTGTCTGTAAGCATTCCCTCCAGAGGCTGAAGCTGTCTATGTGCTCTGAAGAGCACTGTGTGTTTTGTTGATGGCACTTCTACCCTGCCCCTGCAGTTCACTGTTAGCGGAGACCTGGGGATCTTGACTTTGCCTCTGAACAAACATGAGGTGGAGCTGAAGGTCAAGTGGCAGAGCAGGGAGATTTGAGTCTGGTCCTGCTACCTTTGCTCTTACTTGCATCAGGGGCCATTGCTGGGTGAAGCATTTGTTCATCCCAACCCTCCTCTCCCCATTGCCCCTAGCTTACTTGGGCATATATCTCTATATGGGTGTCTGCTTGGCAAGGCAATCTTGTTCCTAAAACTAAATATGCTGCTTCAGTATAGATGAGAGAAATGTGACTTCTCTCCGCTGTCCCGGCCTTACTGATGGCTCTAGCTCAGGGACTCTGTCTGGCTTCTGACACAGATGAGATTTGGTTAGCTCTAAGAAATTATCTATGAGGGTTCAGCCTGGTGTTCTGCGTGTCTCGGATGCCTTCCCTGCCAGAGGGGTGGGTGCAGTCTCCAGACAGGGCAGTCCCAAGAGGGGTTCAGTGCCCTGGGCTTTAGACCGTGGTGCTGTCCTCCCTGTGTTAAGGATGGTGGTGGCTAACGGGTTTGGCCTCTAGGACCCTTGGCTGTTGCAGTGCCAAATGTGTTCACACTGTCTCACAGGCATGGGGGAGTTTGTCATGCTTGGATGTGTCTTATTTGTCTGCTCTGTGCAATGACTCACGAGGATGCTTCCTCCCAGAGCAGCCACTAACTGTTCCCAGAGTCCATCATTTCCAAAGTATTTTTAATCTTTGTCCTTATTTATATATGCTATGTATGTACTGTTTCAGGCTGTTGCCTTTGTGTGTTCATGTGAAAACCCCATATTAAATGCTTTTATTTTTAGTGGGTTTGCTCAGTTAAGCAGTTTCATTGGGACAACAAGGACTTGGTGGTGCATCCACCTTCAAAAGGAAGGAATCGTCTCATCAAAACCCCACAGCTCCTACCCTGAAGTGGGAGGGTGCTTGGTGAGGCACTGCCTGCCTGCAGAGATGGCACTGGCCTCCCATGATGCTAGGCAGGGCTTGTTCCCTCTCTGCGATTCTAGTGTGATGCAGAGTTGCCCAGACGGGCTGCCTTTCCTTCAGATGTATGAAGTTGGACCTCTTCTTTTCCTGTCTTCCCCCTGCTGTCATCCAGGGTGATGGGAAATCAGGTTTACAAAGACACTTTATATAAATAATGGATCAAATGAATACATTTTTCTCTGTAGAACCATTCTTCTCTTGCCACTCTTGGCTGCCGAGGGAGGATGGTTTCTGCTTGCATTTTCTTTTCCTCCTTCTTAATAATGGCGTCTTAGATTTTATGCAGATTGTTTCTCTGTGAAGTTCTTCCACGTTTGAAATGCCCTGGGCTTGCCTGCCATGGCGAGACACTCATTAACATCCTCGCCATGCAATTGAAAAACAAGCAGGAGAAGCAAGTGGTGCGGTATGTTTGAAACCAGCGCTGCCTTCCTGCAGGCTGAGCTTCCAGCGTCCCCGTTCTCCCCCGGGGCTGCAGCTGGGTGTCATGGGACTGGTGCGCCCCATCTTCCAGGAGCTCAGGGAGAGGGAGGAGACGGCACTCTGTGCACTTCAAAGTGGGCATGGGAGTCCAGAGAGACATTGCTGGTCTTGAAAATGTTGAACAAAGGAATGCAAAAACTCACAATAGCTAATTTGAATACTGCAAACCCAAATATCCCTCCCTGATAAGCTGTGATTCAAAGTGACAGCTTTATATGGCTTACATTATTTAAAAATGAATAGTTTTTAGCCCCTGAAGCCACAACCCAAGCACTTAGGCTTGGCTGCAAGTGAAAGGGCAGCAATCACCGGGAGCAAACACTGGGTGAAGGTACATATTTAGAGGGGGATCACTCAGCTTTCAGTGTGTTTGCTTTGGCCTGTTGGTATTCCTTCACAGCAGTGGCACATTACAAAGGAAACAAGCAGGGCTCATCCTTCATTTCATTAAACAGTTTTTATCTCAAATAGCACAGCACAGACTTGCAAATAAGTTCTGCAGTGTCACTGCTATCTAAATAAATTTTTGCAAGTTGTCTTGATTTTTTTTTTTGAACTGTTATGCCCTGGTTCAGAGTTGAAATAAGATATTTTTTCTCTCTTAAATTATCATGTGTGGCTGGGAGCTGTCATGCTGCTGCTGCATCTCACTGCCTAGGGCAACAGCGTAGACAAAAAACATGAGTACTGCTAGCGATAGATGTTGGCACCAGCCAGACCAGTTATCAGGCTTTACAATCTCATTGGCTTGGATTAACTAATATTTTTTCACGGAGTGAATAAATTACCATGTTTAGTTCTGTTTGCTCATCCCCCCAGCAAAGGTTTCGTGCTGAAGCTCACAAATTGAACAGTCACGTAGATGCCAACATCTCCATGCTGGCTCCCACACTGACCTTTCACGTGCTGGGGACCAGCAATCCAGCCCCATCCTGCTCCAGTGCAGCTTTGTTCCTGGGAAGTGCCCACACATGAGGAATGTGATGGGGTTGTTTCTGGGCTACTGTGTCTTGATGCAAGGAGAAGCTGTCTGTCTTCAGCTGTGCATCATGGGGTGAGGTTCAGATACTTCCCAGTATCAGCCTTCAGGGGGCTGATATCAGTCCCGGTCAGGGGAAACAGAGCTTTCCTCTCCCTGCTGAGTTCCGTTACTGAGCTCCCCTCCCCAGTCCCACCTCTCCTGGCTTAAACCAGGCTCTCCTGCCTTGCTGTTGGGAAGGATTTACAAATCCACCACCCAGCCCTCCCACGGGGTGCCTTACATGATTTTAAGCCTGGGTCATTTTGCACCAGAGAGGAGAACTGGGTCCCTCTTCATCCTCTCTGCTTCTGGCTGAAGCTCCTGTGCTGCTGGGGCTGGGAGTTGGGCTGAATGGAGGAGGTGCAAACCTGTCTTAGCCATGGCGACTGTGTGTAACTGGGTGCATGCACAGGTCTATGATGTGGGGGCGTCTGCGTTGATCTGAGGTTTTTTTAGTGTTTGTTTCTTCCAACCCTTTCACTTACAAAGCCTTAGCCATGCTCCCCTAGGGAGCAGGATCTCCACAACCTCTTGTACAAAAGCCTCTGGCTCCATTGTGCCTCACCAAGGCCGTTCTGCAGCAGCAGCGCAAGAGGGGGCTGGCAGCACACGCTGCGGGATGGGACCCCCTGCTTGCCCTGCAGCTCTGGGGGTCCCCAGGGCCAGATGTGCCCCGTGGGGGGGGGGGG